GGAAAATCAAACCAGTGCTTTCTTAATTATAGTAGTGGTTTGAAAGCAGTTATTGACCTGCAGAGTCTCATTATTCGTCTTTCTGTCCATCCATATATCCATGTGACTTGCACAGTCAAGAGGTCAGATAGGAAAACAGCCAGAAATATGGTGCCTCTAATGTAACTGATAAGAATCTGAATTGGTGTGAATCTCCGTGGCGGGGGTCTACTTCCAGCACCTGATAAAACCAGACCAGCAGCCCTGGGAGGGAAGCCCTTCAGCACGATGGTTCTGCTAACGTCATCATGTGAAAAAAAGGCATACGCTTTTATGAGTATATTTTGTGAAACCGAGAAAATAAAAGACAAAAGAATATGGCTGGAAAAAAATAGTACCATCGTACACGTTTCTTAAAAGGAAAAGTCATTCTGTTCTCTTAGCCAGTGCAGACTTGCTGCCTTAAAGGAGAAGCCCGTTAAAAGAACATATTTGTGTGTGGAACAAGGTCATGCACTTATTGGTTTTCTGCTGCACAGCATAAATATACCAGACAAGGAGAAGCAGTGCTTTCACTATAGCCTTGGACTGTGCACAAAGGCGGCAGCACATCCATATTTTCTAATCCCGGCAGTGCCGAAGTTCAGAGGAACCCAGAGTCAGGGGTTTCAAAATTAGAGAAAAGCCAAGTGTTTGTTGCAAGAAATAAACATATTACCTGGAAAAACCCATTCTGGTCTTTTTAAAATAATTCCTTTTCTTAAAAATTTTAATGGACAGGGGTCTCATTATTTTGTCTAGGGATTGGCCTCAAACTCTAGTCTCTAGCGATCCTCCCATCTCATCTCTTGAGTAGCTGGGACTACAGGTGCGCGCCTGGCTTCCAGCATCGCATTCTGAGCAGTCAGTGACTGTGGTAGGAAGCTGGTGGGGTAGCCTGGGTCATCCAGGTTTCCGTGAAGCTATTCCACAAACAAATGACTTCCGTGTTTCTTGGATTCTCCCTTCTCTCCTGCACCAATTTGTCCAACCATTGGAGTTTGACTAATGTTGTTCAACTCCACTGTGCTGCTCTTGTATTACTATTACTAATGTGGTGACTCCTCATTCATCCAGCCTCATCCAGGTTTAGTGTTTCACGTAAATACATTTTCCAGCCCACTGATATCACTTCTTCCTTTTTTTCTTTTTTTGAGACAGAGTCTCGCTCTGTTGCCCAGGATGGCATGCACTGGCATGATCTTGGCTTACTGCAATCTCTTCCTCTCAGGTTCAAGAGATTCTCTTGCCTCAGCCTCCCAAGTAGCTGGGATTACAGTTACTCACCATCCTGCCCAGTTAATTTTTGTATTTTTAGTAGAGACAAGGTTTCACCATGTTGGCCAGGCTGGTCTCAAACTCCTGACCTCAGGTGATCAAATAGAGGCAGTAGTGCCTTCTTCATTGGGCAGATGGGCGAATTAAATAAAATTACACTTAGAAGGGTGCATGGCCAAGACAGCTGTTCAATATGAGTGAGCCATTCTTAAGTGAGGAATTCCATCAGTCATCACCACCACATTAGTGCAATAATGATGACATTGGCATATTTGCATGGAATACTTTAAAGATGTATACGGGGCTGGGTGTGGTGATGTACACCTGTAATCCCAGCACCTTGGGAGGCCAAGCAGGTGGATCATGAGCTCAAGAGATTAAGACCATCCTGGCCAACATTAAAACCCCATCTCTACTAAAAATACAAAAATTAGCTGGGCATGGTGGCGGGTGCCTGTAATCCCAGCTACCTGGGAGGCTGAGGCAGGAGAATCACTTGAGCCTGGGAGGCGGAGGTTGCAGTGAGCTGAGATTGCACCACTGCACTCCAGCCTGGTACTCCAGCCTGGCGACAGAGAGAGACTCCATCTCAAAAAGAAGAAAAAGAAAAAAAAGACGTATATGAATATTTTCTCCAACAGTTTAATATAATTTACTCACTACCTGGGAGGGCCCTCCTGGCTGATTAGGGAAGCCTAGGAGTGGGTCTGCCCCATCCCTTCCTTTCTCCCCCAGAATGGTGCCTGAACACTCATCCCTGGCCTTCTGCCATTCAAGCTGAGGCTCCCCACGAAAGCTTCCTTCCTCTTTTTGACCTAACTTGCATCTGACCCACTTTTGTGCTTAGTAATTCCTCAGCTCCCTGTGCTCCATTTGTTCTGTTTCAATTTCTGGTCGTAGATCGGTTGCTTTGTCATGTGTTCTTGGATGTGAAGTGGGCTGTGGACCTGCAGGCTTCATTAAGTCAAGGCATCCAAATGCCCATCGCAACCACCCAGCGTCCTTGTGGCCATGTTGTCTGGGATGCATAGAATGGAAAAGATGACGACAGATTTGTAATCAGCCCTGAGGAGAAGAGAGGGCAGATTCTGACATATCACAAAGGGCCCAATGAGAGTGGAAGTGGGCAGCTCTGTGGCTCCAAGAGACAAGCTGTCTCCATCCACCTGGGGAGACTGTCCCAGGACCAGGGTCTTGGTGGCATCAAAGCTGAGTGAGTGGATGTGGCATGTGGAGGATGCACTTCCACCATGTGGGGAGTGCTGCTCACCTCTGGGCTTCTGGAGGCTGCCTTTGGGCTCTGTGCTGCCCTGGATGTCTCTGCCCCCACCTCCTTTATCCTTACTCGGGAGATTCCTGCCTCCTTTCGCTCAGGTCCTCTCCTCCCTCCTGAGCTGTTTCCTTGAACTAACTACTGAGCTTGACACTTAATTGACAGTGAAAGCTGACTCTATCCAGAAGAGAAGCTCAGTGTCTTAACTTCCAGTGAGAATCTGGACTATCTCTGGAGCCTCCTTACATTCCATTCGCTCCACCAACCGTGCAACTAACTTTGTGTTTCCAGCCTCCTCTCCGGTGGCTTCCATTCATTTTCTCTTTCTTTGGGGAGCCATGTCCCTTGTTCTTCTGCAGAACAGAGGTGATGACATCAGGAGCCCAGGGCACGAGTTCTCCTGGAGAGTTCTCTCATGGCTCTCAGAGATGTGGTCCTCCTGGGTGATGTCACCATTGCTTTGCAACAGGAAAAGAACTACAAGAACAACAATTTCAACTCAGTGAGAGAAGATGGTGTTTCTTTCACATACCATCTTACATAATAAATGTATATCATTAAAATGGTATAAGTAAAATCATGTTTAAAGAGAACTAGGCCAGTTGTTCACAAGCTTGTTTAGGCGGTAGTATAACTAGAAGTCATGATGTTCTTTCCAGTATAAACGCATGACACAGAGACACATTCAGTGACGTCACTTGAGTCAGGGAAAACTTTACCAGCAGAATGTACGACTATGCCATATAAGTGCAATATAAACTCACAAGCATAACATCCCCCCAAAATCGGGCTGTCAAATGTGACATGATCGGTTCTTTTTCTTTAATGATTGCTTAGTATGTGTTTGTTTGCTCATTTATCAACTCTTCCTTAAGAGCGGATAAGTGGTACAAGCACCAGATGTTTAGGAAAAATATATGGGAGACCAAATGTAAATGGTTAAAATTATATCCAGTAGTCTAATTTAAAATTCTGCCATTTTTTTCAGTTTTAGTGGTCGAACCCTTTTGCTCCACTGATGGGCAGTGTTTGGCACTTTGGTTTGAAAGTTTTTGCTGTAAGAGGACTCAGCCTCGATTTTCTCTCCATAAAAATGGAAACAGTAGTCAAACCTACCACATACAATTAGTGTGAGGATGAAATGACATAATGTATGAAAATCATATATAAAGTGTTTGGCTGAAAACAAGTTCATCCTGCCCAAAGCAAGATACAGACTTAATGAAATCCCTACAGAAACTCTGATGGCATTTAGTACAGAAATAGAAAAAAACCCCAAAAGTTTTATGGAACAACAATGGATCCCACTCAGTAGATGGTAGATGTCATTTATAGCCTAGACTGCAATTCTTAATGATTTAACTAAGACATTTAAAAATCACACAAACATTTTAGTGATACCATGTACCAACTTACACTACTTACTGCACAATGCACACTGTACATGTGGGTAATAGTAGTTGTGTGTATAAGCGTTCAGACTGTGGTAAGATGGCCCTTGGAGAAATTTGGCTGGGATATTCTGCATTGGTGAAACCAGGTGAAAGCAGGTTTGTAGAGTAGGATTCTTGGAGTGCCTATGGTGACTAGAGAGGTGTTTGATCGAACTACCACAGTGGACACCGTGCTGGCGAAGAATTGTTCCTGTTACCTTTGATTCTATAAATGCAAAGTTTCAGTGAAAGGGAGCAGCAAAGGGAGAAGAGAATTAAACATTTTGGGTAGGCTGAGCACGGTGGCTCATACCTGTAATCCCAGCACTATGGGAGGCTGAGGAGGGCAGATCATCTGATGTCAGAAGTTCAAGACCAGCCTGGCCAACATGGAGAAACCCCATCTCTACTAAAAATAAAAATAAATTAGCTGGGCATGGTGTCACAAACCTGTAATCCCAGCTGATTGAAAGTCTGAGGCAGGAGAATCGCTTGAACCTGGGAGGTGGAGGTTGCGATGAGCCAAGATCGCACCATTGTGCTCCAGCCTGGGCAACAAGAGTGAAACTTTGCCTTAAGAAAACAAAACAAAACATTTTGGGTAAAGAGCTGACAGCTAATGGTCGTAGACACTGAACATTTCCTCCCTTCCCTCCTTTTTTCCTTCCCTTTGTTCTGTCCTCCCTTTCTTTTCTTCTTTCCACTGTCTCTCTGCACTCCCCACTCCCTTTAAAAAAATAAGACACAATTTTTATAGGAAAGGATAAACTTTTCCCCCTTAAAACCTTCCCAAGTACTTTTCTTAGGTATATATATTGTTCTAGTCTTGTAAATGGGTCATGCAGGGCTTTTTAAAAAGGAAATTTGTCCTTGACTGTAAGTCTGTTCGTCTTCAAGAACAGGCTAAATGCTTGCCACAGCTACCGCCTCTTCTTCCCGGATGTGATTTTTACATTTACTTCCCCTCAAAAACCACGTCATTTTTCTGCCACTTCCCATAAGGCAGTCAAGCTGGTAACTGTATTTTGATACTACTTACCAACCACCAGATAGAAGCCCTGACAATAATTACTGAAAATAGCAGCTACGAATGGGTGAGCACTTTCATTTACCTTTCAGGCTCTTTACGTCATTTGTCTCCACACGTCTTTTGGTTCTGTGCCTCTACCAAAAAGAATACTGTAAACACACAATGTGTGTGTATGTGTGTTTTAGATGTATTATGTGTTGTATAATTATGCATACTTGTATTATGTCTATCATGAAACAAACATAAAAATATAAGTAAATGGGATGAGACGTGAGAGATAATATGTTAAACATTAATTAATTTTATCTTTTTTTTTTTTTGAGATGGAGTCTGCTCTGTCACCAGGCTGGAGTGCAGTGGCACGATCTTGGCTCACTACAACCTCTGCCTCCTGAGTTCGAGTGATTCTCCTGCCCCAGCCTCCTAAGTAGCTGGGACTAACAGGTGTGTGCCACCACACCCAGCTAATTTTTGTGTTTTTAGTAGAGATGGGGTTTCACCAGGCTGGCCAGGATAATCTTGATCTCTTGACCTCATGATCTGACTACCTTGGCTTACCAAAGTGTTGGGATTACAGGCGTGAGCCACCGTGCCCAGCCTATTTTATCTTATTTTAATGGTTGTGATGGTTAATTGTATGTGTCAACTTGACTGGGACACAGGATATCTAGATATCTGGTTAAACATTATTCTGAGTGTGTCTGTGGGGGTGTTTTCCAATGAGATTATCCTTGAATGGGTAGACTGAGTAAAGCAGATGGCTCTCCCCAGTGTGGGGGGCCTCATGCAATCCCTCGGAGGCCTGAATAGTGCAAAAGGCAGAGTAAGGGAGATGCACATTCTGGACCTGACTGTTGGGCTGGAACATTGGTCTTCTCAGACTGAGACTTACATCATGGGCGCTTACACCATGGATCTTAGGCCTTCACATATGGCCTGAATTTTATCACCAGATTTCCCGTGTCATCAGCCTGCAGATGGCAGATCATGGGACTTCTCAGCCGCCATAATTGCATGACCCAATTCTTTACAATACCAGTCTCTTTCTCTCTACACACACACGTGCGTACACACACACACACACACACGAGAACCCAGACTAATACCATGGTATGATTAATTTTTGCTCTCATTAAATATCTCACAACCTCCAAACCTCAGGTACCTTTAGGGTAAATTTCACTGGTCTTTGAGGAACTTCATGTGCACCTGGACCTGATATAAATGATGAGACTCTAGACTTTGAATGGAGTCTGTAAGGAGATGAAACTTTTGGGACACTTGAGAGGGAGTGAGTATATTTCGCATGTAGGAAGGACATGAATTATTAGGGGTCAGAGGATGGACTATGGTAGCCAGCCTTCAAGGTGGCCCTCAGTGGTCCTCGCCTCCTGGTATACTCCATTCCATACTATATCCAGGCTGACATCTGGGTTGGTTTGTGTGACCAACAGAATATGGTGAGAGTGATGTGTGACGGTGTTGACTTCTTCTTTTTTTTTGAGGAGTCTTGCTCTGTTGCCCAGTCTGGAGTACAGTGGTGCAATCTTGGCTCACTGCAACCTCTGTATCCCAGGTTCAAGTGATTCTCTTGCCTTAGTTTGAGTAGCTGGGACTACAGGCGTGCACCACCATGCCTGGCTAATTTTTGTATTTTTAGTAGACGTGGGTTTTCACCATGTTGGCCAGTCTGGTCTTGAACTCCTGACCTCAGTTGATTCACCCATGTTGGCCTCCCAGAGTGCTGGGATTACTGGCATTAGCCACCATGGCTGGCCTGATGGTGCTGACTTCTATGGCTAGGACTTTGCCACTTTTGCCTTGTTCTCTTGCAACACTCAGTCTGGGGAAAGCCAGCTGCAACGTTGTGAGGAGACTCAAGCAGCATGATAGGGAGGCCCATATGATGAGGAATTCAGAACTCTTTCTAAAAGCTAGCCAAAAGAGTGAATCTTGGAAGTGGCTCCTTTAGTCCTAGTAAAGCCTTCAGATGATTGTAGCCCTGGCCAATGTCTTCACTGCAGTCTCATGTGAGACTCTAAGCCGGAATCACTCAGAGAAGTTGCACCCAAATTTTGACCGATAGAAACTGTGTGAGATACTAAATCCTTATTATTGTTTTAAGTCACCAAGTTTTGCAGTGATCTGTTTTACAGCCATAGGTAATGAATACAGATTTGAATAGTTTTGTGGACCACTTTTCAGATATGATTAATTTTTCCACTGTTTTTGTTTTATGTGACTAACACATATCATATTGGGACTTGGAGATGTGTGGGTTTTGTTATGTTTGTCTTATCATTTGTGCTTGTATTGTTGGTATTCTCTTCAGTCTGAGGTTTCTTTGTGGAAACCGTACAAACTCTAATGTGCTATGAGGCACTGAAAGTACAGAAAGACTGAAGACCACTGGCTGTGCTTGGGCAGCTCTTTTCCCTTATGATTCTTTTCGTACCATGTGATCTCATGCTCTGACATCAGATTGAGGCCACCAACGTCAACCTGTATATTAAATATTAATAGATGAGTGTCTTTCTGGATTTTTTTGGTGGGGGGGATAAACATCATAAATAAAACTACTAATATTTCTCCCCCACCACATCCCAAGGCTTGAGGCTCATCTTTGTTTTTTTTTTTTTTTTTTTTTGAGACAGAGTCTCATTCTGTTGCCCAGGCTTGAGTGCAGTGCCCTGATCTTGGCTCACTCAACCTCCGCCTCCCAGGTTCAAGCAATTCTCCTGCCTCAGCCTCCCAAGTAGCAAGGACTTCAGGCATGTGCCACCATGCCTGGCTATTTTTTTGTATTTAGTAGAGATGGGGTTTCACCACATTGGCCAGGTTGGTCTTGAACTCCTGACCTCAGGTGATCTGCCTGCCTCGGCCTCCCAAAGTGCTGGGATTACAGGTGTGAGCCACTGCACGCAGCCCAAGGCTCATCTTTCAAGACCACTGCTTTAGAACAGGGGTTGGCCAATTACTGGCTGTTTTTATCAAAGTGCCATTAGGACACAGCAACACTCCTTTGGTCATGTATTATCTTGGCTGCTTTTGTGCTACCATGGCAGAGTTGGGCACTTGCAGCTTGTGATCTTCAAAGCCCAAACCGTGACTAGATGCCCCGTTACAGAAGGTCGTCACTGTTGTTTTTGAAAATGGATGGAGCTTGAGGGTGCTTAGCATCAACTCACTTGTCCCCTTATGCAGGGGCAGGCAATATGCAGTACAGAGTCACCCAGGGAATTCTGAGAAAACACAGTTCTGTGTCTGCCCTGGTGGTGTCATTCTGGCCTGGGGCTTTGATTCTCTCAGACTGTATCCTAGAACCTAATTATGACTTGAACTTTAACCAGTAGCAGATGGCAATGCAAGTGACAGGGCAGATCTGAACTAGGGCATTTTACATTCTATGGCTGATGGAAAACATCCTTCTCCTTTCTTTCTGCTATGTCCATCCTAAACCATGATCCAGAGGCTTTTGTTCCTTTCTTTTCTCAGAGCCCCTGTCCTCAACCCTTCTTCCCTTTGGATTGTTCTTTTCAAAGATCTTGGCTTGACTGGCACCTTCTCATCCAAGCTCAGCTTAAATGCCACCTCTATAGAGAGGCCTTTTCTGGACACCTAGTCTAAGATGTCCCAATGACAGCTCCATTACTCTCTATCTTATGTTCTGTATTATTTTTGCTTATACTTATCAATATCTGAAATTATTTTATTTATGCCTATTTATTGTCTTCTAGATAACAAACTACTAGAATGCAAGAACCTGAGGAAGAAGAAAGACCTTGTCTGTCTCATTTGTAACTGCATTTTCAGGGCTTAAAAATAGTGCCTGATCCAAAGTTTAAATATTTGAGAATGAACAGGAGGAATTGCCTGATATTATTTTGTGTCTGGTTGTAGAATGGTATTGCATCATGGCTCATAAATCATGCAATTGGCTAGGAAAAGGTCTGAGCCTGAATAAAATATGTTGTTTTTTTTTCCATGCTCTGGATTCATTAGCAGTATCAATTATACCAGTGTTTAACCCATGCAATGATGTTGTTTTTGAAAATTGTAATGATGGTCTATTTGCTTATTCCTATAATTCCTATTTAGTTTGTCTTTTATTCTTTAATGCTACCTCTTCCTTCTCCCTCTCGCAACCTCATTACTTTTCTGTTCTTTTATTATGGTTTATAGACAATCTTTTGTATCTTGGGTAGGAATGTTTGCTTTATATCTCTCAGAGAACACATTTTTCCATTTGCTGCCTCTGCCGATTATTCCACAGTGACTCATTTCCCTATGTGGCTTGTCATCTTTGCATGTGAGCTCATCTTCGGTGGGAACTGATTTTCTGGGATGACATTGGATCCTGATTGTGCTCTTGTCTAGATATTCTTGTTTTCCATTTGCTCTTTGCTTTTCCCTGGTCTGTACCAGTTTTCTTTTTAATTTTTAAATTGTGGTGAAATAATCATAATGCAAGTTTACCATCTTAACAATTTGTTTTTCAGTAAACAGAGTCTTGCTCTGTCACACAGGCTGGCGTGCAGTGGCACGACCATAGCTTATTGTTGCCTCAAACTCTCTGGGCTCCAGCAATCCTCCCACCTGGGCCTCCCAAAGTGCTGGGATTATAGGTGTGAGCCACTGTACCTCACCCATCTGAACAATTTTTAAGTGTACAGTAATGTTCAGTAGCATTAAATATATTCACGGTATTGCACAATCAATTTTCTAAACTTTTTCATCTTGGGAAACTGAAACTTTATACCCTTTAAACAGTGACTTGCTGTTTTCCCCTCTCCCCGCCCCTAGCAACCACCATTCTACCTTCTGTCTCTATGAGCTTTAACTACTCCAAGTACCTCATATAAGTGGAATCACACAGTATTTGTCATTTTGTACCTGGCTTATATCAGTTAGCATAATGTCCTCAAAGTGCATCTATGTGACAGAATATTCTTCCTTTTCGAGGCTGAATAATATTTCTAATACATATATACCACATTTTATTGATCAGTTTACCCACTGATGGATACCTGGGTACTTGTGTCTACCACCTTTTGGCTGTTGTGAATAATGCTGCTATGACTATGGGGGTTCAAACATCTCTTTGAGACCCTGCTTTCAGTTGTTGTGGATATGCTTGGAGAAGTGGGATTGATGCATCAGTGCCTGTTTAATTTCTCAGCTGGCGTTCTCTCCTCACATAGATAATAGAGATGTGAACACTACACATGTGTGTAGCAGACACTGGCTCCAGCTTCGTATGGGTGAGGCTTTCTACCCATTGCACTGAGCTGATGGTGAGCTTTCTTGTTGATTCTCTAAATCACAGTGTCAACTTTCTAAGCTCATTGTCACCCTCCAGGCAAACCTTCATGGCTTCCAGTTTAAACAGGAGCTTTGTTTCAGCGTTGTGTCCTGCATGAGCCCAAGGCCTCAGCTCCTTTTCCTGCACAGGTGTTAAAACTTGAGTCCCATGCGTGTTAGGACACCGGGTCATCTGTTTGGCTTCAGCTCACACTCACCTCTTTTTCTTTGAGTGGTTCTTTATTCCTGACATCAGGGAATTTTCTTTCCTTGCTTTTGAATATGCATTAAAAATAGTTTATCCAGCATTTTCAGTATTTGGGGTGTGTGTGTGTGTGTGTGTGTGTGTGTTTGTGTACTTTCAGTTCTGTTCGACCTGTAGTGCCAATAGATATTTGTTTGTCCATTCAGTATTTTCTGACCATTTATAGCCTACACAATGATAAGCCTATGAGGACTAAATAGTAATCTTCTGAACTCCTGTAACTCAGGAGGATGTCAAATCTTAATACACTAACAGGAAAGATGTAAATGTTGCTGTGCAATTGAGGCAGTGGAATCCGTTTTTAGCTTGGATCCCAAACAGAAAGGTTCTCTTCCTACCAAAGCTGCAAACGAGCCCCTCCTCAAGTAGTGTGAAGCCCAGGTTCCGAGTACAGAGACCCGCGGGCCAGAGCTCTGAGCACTGACGTTGCAGAGAAGATCTGGAGCCAACAGGCCAGAAGGAAGGGGAGTTTTCCTGGGTCAATCAGTAAGAACCGGCAGGCATTTTTGCAACACGCATTATAAGATAGGCTACGTCACAGACACATGGTCTTGTTAATTAATATTTAATACATATGTAACAAGCATATCAGCAAAGATAAAGAATTTTCTGCAGATAAGGAAAAGGGCAGTGAGACTTTTGCTGGGGTTATTTTTGTCCACACCCTTTAGTTTCAGCGTTGCCAGCTTCTTTCTTTCCAAGTCTGGGATATATGAGACAGAAAGAAAACCCAGGGAACTCAACACTCTTCATTCCTTGCGTCCCAAGGCCCCTATTCAGTCTACCTCCTTCCATTCACCTTTCAGAGTCTTCTTATGTTTGATTTATATACATAGGTAATGTCTAGGGTTTTTAGTTGCAATTAGTGGGAGAAATAAAAGAAGTACAGCTACCCTATCTATCTTCTTGGTGGATGATTTTTAAAAAATAAACTTGTTGTGTTATTTTACTCCAATCATTAAATTACTATATGTTTATTAAAATCTTTATAATATAGAAATGATGAAATTGAGAGTACTAATTGGGCTGGGTAAGACTGTGAAGTATGTGAAAGAAACAAACAGTTCAGGTAAGAAGATGGGATGAGAAAGCTGCTTTTTATTTCACTACAACTTCACACATTTTGTGTTCACATTTTTTTCCTTTTTTCTTTTCTTCTTTCTTCTTCTCTTTTTTTTTTTGAGATGGAGTCTAGCTCTGTTGCCCAGGCTGGAGTGCATTAGCATGATCTTGGCTCACTACAACCTTCACCTCCTGGGTTCAAGCAGTTCTTCTGTCTCAGCCCCCTGAGTAGCTGGGATTTACAGGTGCCTGCCACCACGCCCAGCTAATTTTTGTATTTTAGTTGAGACAGGGTTTCACTGTGTTGGCCAGGCTGGTCTGAACTCCTGACCTTGTGATCCACCCACCTCAGCCTCCCAAAGTGCTGGGATTACAAGTGTGAGCCACTGTGCCTGGCCTCACATTTTTTTTCTGTAACAAAAATTTTCTTTTCTTTTTTGAGACAGAGTCTTACTCTATCACCCAGTCTGGAGTACAGTTGCTGTGACCTTGACTCACTGCAACCTCAGCCTCCCAAATAGCTAGAATTACACGTGCCCACCACCACACCTGGCTAATTCTTGTATTTTTAGTAGAGAGGGGGTTTCGCCATCGTGGCCAGGCTGATCTCAAACTCCTGGCCTCAAGTGATCCACCTGCCTTGGCCTCTCAAAGTGCTGAGATTACAGGCAAAAATTTTCAGTTTTATAAAGAAAGATGAATAGAGATGAACTTTCCTTTAAGAAAACCTGTTAGGTATAGATTTGGATTTACAAAGTGAACAGATAAGGATGTGATTCTGAGTTTTACTCTGAGTCACCCCAAAATTTTCAGGAACTCCTGTGTTGTATAAAGTCAACTCGGAATAATTTTACTTGATGATGACTCTGGGATTCTTGGTATCAATAGAATTCACATTAGTAAGTACAGTAAACCCCTGTTTAGAAAGTGCTTTGCTATCACAGATTATATTACAGTAGAGTCAAATCATTTTCCATGTATAACCCCTGATATATGACTTGAATAAAACAACCTCTGAGGCGAATCTTATTCTTGCATTCTGATACCAGGCCACAATAGGGTTCTGCTGAATTATTAGGGAAAAGGATGCTCAATGAGATTTCCTGCCCTGGATGTAGACTTCAGCCAGGCTTTGATGTTTTTGCCATTAGAGTCATCAAGCTGAATGTTACTGTAATGGTATTCTACTGTCACACAACACTGGGGTCCAAATGAGTTTTTCCTAAAACAGGCCCATTCACAAGGTGTGTCCAGCCATCTCTCACCATTTCCTTCATGCCTCTGTTTTGGCAGACATTTCTCCAATCTTCATTCATCTTCCTGCAAGAAACAACTTTAATTCACACCAGGAATTGTAATGTTAACTATACTGTAAAGTGGTTATTTAAAAGCCAGAATCTGTGTTGTGTGATAGCCAAACTTACAGCGGGGGAAGGGCAGACAGCCCCAGTCATCAAAGGATAAAAATCTATACTAATCTTAAAAGAAAAACACAGTGCAGTGTTTCTTGTCTATTTTTCTACAAAAGGAGGCCACTGTATTTCTGTTCCTGGCCATGTCAGCAGTGAGGGCCTCCCCAACCGCCCCCACCAGTTTTTTTCGAGCATTGATTGTTGACTTCCCCTGACACCCCATCACAACCCATTAGTACTGGAAACTGACAAGCCCAGCTGCAGCAGCAAAATGGCAAGTTTAAAAGAAAATATCGGAAGCACAGGCAAAGCCCAGCTCTTAGGGACCCGCACAAGACCCAAATGCAGTGACTCCTCCCCGCCCCCACGACACCTTTTCGAAGGTCCGCAGAATCAGCAGATTTTCTTAACCCACACTCCAAGGTCTTGCGGAAATTATAAGGAGTATTGCTTTATTTTTACTTTCATTTTCAAAGGAACTGGGTTGAGGCATATGAAAACAGAGTTGGCTAAAGTGCTTTTGCTGAGAATGCTAATATACATTATGTCTCTTTTCAGACTAAAGCATTTCAGGCATTAGTGGCTCAGCAGTCCTGGGCCACTTCAAACCCTGGCAGCTTCTTAAGTTATGAGTCTTTTTCTTCTTTTTTTTTTAAATTCAGCAGAGTTATATGGTGCCTGTGTTCCCAGAGTTACAGTAATAGCAATCGCGAGCATTCCCTGTGATTGTACAGTTGATTGCTCAGGGGAAAAAAGTGACAACTCCAGATTTCCAATAGACCTTGTATTTGCAGAGATATGAGTTCAAGCAAGGCCAGCCAACTTGTCAAAATCTTAAGAGCCAAGACACAAGGTGAATCTAATTTTAGCTAAGGGGCTGGATGTAAGTTTTGTGCAGTCAAAGCCCTGGTGAGGGGGTAACTAAAAAAATGGTGACCATCATCCTTGTAGGTGAAAAAATCTAATTGTAAATGGTGGTTGAATCAAGAACAGATAATAAAGAGCCACATAAAAAAACCAGCATTAAGCATGAGTTCCTACATTTTTACCTCTTGTGAGCAGAGAGGCAGCAACACACAAGTGTGGGCTAATGGCAATGATGGTCTGCCTCAGGAACCAGCACTTGGAAGCCATTGTTTAGCATGGTTCTTGCCTGGGGATGGCAAGATGGCCTTGGGGTAAATAAGAGGAAGTCCTGTAAGTGACTTTTTTTTTTTTGGATGGAGTCTTGCTCTGTTGCCCAGGCTGGAGTGCAATAGTGCGATCTTGACTCACTGCAACCTCTGCCTCCCAGGTTCAAGCCATTCTCCTGCCTCAGCCTCCTGAGTAGCTGGAACTACAGGTGCCCACCACCATACCTGGCTAATTTTTGCATTTTTTAGTAGAGATGGGGTTTCACTATTTTAGTCAGGCTGGTCTGACCTCAGATGATTTACCTGCCTCGGCCTCCCAAAGTGCTGGGATTACAGGTGTGAGCCACCGCGCCTGGCCCCTTTAGTGAGTTTTATGGCCAGCCCTACCATCAAGCCTGTGTGCAATTGGGAGTTACCCACTTCTTCCTTCACCTCTGATTGTGCTTCTTGTCTTACTAAGCTGATGATGCGTTTCTTGCCTTCCCAGACCCCCTGGGAGAGGTCTGGGAAGTCTGGAGTCTGGGCCACCTCTGAAGTATTGCATCTTAGACAGACTTGCTTGCCTGCTGCTACGAAAGCTGGCAGACCCACAAACTCTCCTTAATTTCCCATGAGCCCTCCATGTTCTCTCCTTTGGTGAAGATGGCTGCTCTGGCAGAAGAGGGGCCCACAGGGAAACTGCAGTGCTCCTAGGCTTCAGGGCCTCCCCCTGGACCTTGCTCCATCTGCCAGGGTGCAGGCTGGGCCCCAGTCAGAGAGAGCTCCTCAGTGACAGCCATGTAAGCTGCAGGCAACAGGCCAGCCTAGGACGCGGAGCCTCAGTATAGAATGGCTTGCCTGGTGCATGGTCCAGCACCCAACCTGGGTCAGCACTGAAACCTGGAAGATGTGGCTTCGGCTCTGCCTTTGGCTCTGAACCAACCCTTTTCTTCATCTGCAGGAGCCTCTGAGAGGACCTGGCCCTGCCCTGTCCTCAGTGCTTCTAGAATGACAGCCTTGTGCTTCTCTGCCCTGTCTCCAGCATCTGCAGTACTCAGCTCCCCTGATGCCACCCGAGTGCCTACTTGACTCCCTCGAATCACCTGTTCTCCCCTGACAAGAGCGGCCCTTTGGGTTTGGGCTGGGTCTGGATCCTTGGCAGAAGATTTGACAGCTTCAGCAGCGTCCTGGTTTTGGTTCATCTCTGGACTATGGCCCTGGGTGCCAAGTCTTCATTTGACCATCTTTGGAGTTGGTTTCATGCTCTGAGCCCAGCTCTGTGCCCGTCTGCAGATGACCAGTTCAGACCTTCCTTGTTCTAGCCCATTTGGGCTGCTCTTGTATCCAGTCTTTCTAGAAAGCATTCTTTTGCATTATTTGGTTGCACCATACCTGACATTGTCCTGAAATGCCTGAGTTTCTGGTTCTCCTCCCTATATTGAGGAAATAGGAAGGGTAGGTTTCCTCCATGGGTGCAGGGTGAGAGAGTAGGGGGAAAAGGCCAGAACCATGAGCATGGGAGAGGCTGGCGATTGCACGAGAAAGGTGAGTTTAACATGAGCCGTAATGGCAAGCAGACTGACTGTGCATTGGGAACTGAGGCACATTCCCAGAGAATCCTCAGAGAACCACCCGGGATGAAGATGGGAGAGGGGTGCAGAACTCTGGTGGTGGTTTTCCGTGCTTCTGGCTCTTGTTTAAGTGAGGCAGGGCCATTTAAAGCTGCTATGATATGGAACCTTTTGGCTTATCATCAATAAAGATTTATTAAGTCCCTCTGGCTACTAGCCTGAGTCCTTACAAGGTGAGAGAGCTGAGGTTAGGGCGAATGTTCTGGAGTGGAGGTGTGGTAGTAGCTATGCACATAGATCATGAATTTTCAGGGCTCTCTGATGAAAAATCCCATGTTCTGATTTCAAAAAGGAGGTCAGAGTAATGAAAAAATATGGATGGAGGCAACGATTGCACCCTTACTGCATGCTAGGCAATGAATCTCTCTCTCTCAGAGATGAATATATATAAAATATATATGTATGTATATGTATATATATTATATATATTTCTATATTCTTAGTATATATTCTAATATATACACTATAAATGTATATTTATAGTATATATATTCTTAGCAAATGTACTATATATTTTTATATTATTTATAATATATATTTATAACATATATATTCTTAGCAATATGTACTTTATATATTATTTATAATGTATATATATTCTTAGAAAAAATTCCTGTATATTATATTAATCCTATATATATTCCAATAATATATATATTTTTCCTAAGAATATATATGTGCATGTTCTTAGTTCTGACAAAATCTTTTGAAGCTTGGATTATTATTACTAATACCATCTTATATTAATTGATGCGGCAACTCAGATCACAAGATTTAACTCTCATATATTTCAAACCTGGGCCCTCCCATGACCGCATCACAGTTCCCTTCTATTTAAGAAGCATTTAAACGAAGTTTTATTAAAAGTTCCAGCTACAAATGATTAAAATGGGCTTGAAGGAGACAGATACCCAGGTCCTCCACTTAGCCGGACGTGAGATACGAAAGACTGTCTGGAGGGAGATTTTGTACCTTGACCAGAAGATGTGAAGAACAATTTCAAGAAACCTTTACTTAAGCTTTTTCATGGAAAAAAAAAAAAAAAAAAAAAAGTGAAAGAATAACTCCAGTTTCCTTGGGCTGATTCTTTTGTGAAATACTTTGGCAATGAATGATCAAGAAATGGATTTAAAATACTGGTTGAACTATCAGATCAAATTTTCATCTTCACTATTTGGTATTATTTTTCTAGGTCTCCAGTGAGGGAAGAAAAGAAGTATGTTAAGAAATCGGCCCAATAATGTAAACATTACATATTTCAGTGTGTCCAAAAGCAGAAAGGAATAGAGGAGGAACTGAGAGGATTAAAAAAAATTATACTGCTTTAAATAATAAACCAACAAAATCTGGTAAAGCATTTTGCCTAACTCTGAATTAATGTAAATTTCACCTAAATTTGGCAAATGGGAAGCAAACCTGTGATCAGCAGGCTTGGGTGGGAGGTTCATACAGCAGGATTTCTTCACTTCCCTGGGGAGTATCCGAGACTTCTGAAACCACGATCATCATGGTTCTTTGGAGTCTAAGGGCTCCTCCAGGTGCATTATTTAGTAGACCCAGGTGCCAGCACTCAGATGCCTCTAAATAAAGTTTTGCGGAGACAGGGTATCTTGAAATTTAGAAACGCTAGGATGCTCCAGGAAGCCTCAGAAGTGCTCTGCTACCACCAAGAAGAAATTGGGGACTTGAGAAACCAGTGCCACATTCAGACACACAGGTGATGACGCTTAATTGTTTTTGAAGGGTGTGGGACCAAATCCAGAATTGTGAACAGCCCTGGTCTGAGCAGGCAGGACATTGCTCCCTGTCTGTCCCCAGCAGCCTACCTCAAACCTGACAAGTCATCCTAATTAGACACATCCTAGCCTGGGAACCGGGCTCCCGGTCGTGGAGTTGCGCTCAGGTCCCCTGGATCTGCGAGGCTGCAGTTCTTTAGGCTGGGCCAGGTGATCTGTCGCTGGGCAGTGAAACGCTTCCTAATGCAAAACACGACTCCGCTGCAGGCGTTGCGCTAAAGCTGCTTTTCCGTGGCAGCCTTGGGCCCCACCTCCAGGGCCCCCAGCCTGGACCCCGCTCACCTGCTCCTGCCGGCCCCGCCCCATCACCGGCGAGCGTCACTGTGCTTGGCTTCCTGGTCCTCACACATCGCCACTGTTCATAGGTGAGAGGAACAACTGGAGCGCCTAACATGCTGGACGTTGCGCTGAGTTGCTTCATGCATGGGTATTACCTCCTGAAAGCCAAACTGTGAGCTGGCTGCTATTATTAACTCGTTATCAGCGGGGATGTCCGGTCCCTCGCGTAAGGACGCCCCAGCGGCATGGTTGAGCCAAAATCCGAAATGGGTCCTCCAGGCCCTTGCGCCTGACCTTGACCTGTAGGCTCCTCCCAAACCCACGACCTTTCTCACGCCTCTCTGCAGAGGAGGGCCCCATCCCCTCACAGCCAGTCTTAAAATATACCTGCAATTGGCCAGGCGCGGTGGCTCAGCCTGTAATCCCAACACTCTGGGAGTCTGAGGCAGGCGAATCACCTGAGGTCACGAGACCAGCCTGGCCACCATGGCGAAAACTGTCTCTACTAAAAACACAAAAATTAACCGGGCTTGGTGGTGTGCCTGTAATCCCAGCTATTAGGGAGGCTGAGGCAGGAGAATTGCTTGAAGCCAGGAGGTGGAGGTTGCAGTAAGCTGAGATCGTGCCACTGCACTCCAGCCTGTGTGATGGGAGTGAGACTGTATCTCAAAAAAGAAAAAGAAAAAATCTACCTGCAATTGGACTAATCTTTCCCCTAAAAATCGCCCTGAAATACTTTTTTTCAGTTTCCATAGACACGATGTAAAGCCATTGCAGTATCGTTGAACGTATAAAGGGGTGACTCTTAGTCAACCACATAGCATTTGTCTTTAGTTCATTCTAAGATGAGTCTTAGATTTGATTTAAGAGAGGTTTATGAGACAAAATGGTAAAATTTTCTTTTCTTTTCTTTTTAGTTTTTTGTAAGACAGAGTCCCATTCTGTTGTTCAGGCAGGAGTGCAGTGGCATGATCTCGCAACCTCCACTCCTGGGTTCAAGCAGTTCTCCTGCTTCAGCCTCCTGAGTAGCTGGGACTACAGGCACCCGCCACCATGCCCAGCTAATTTTTTGTATTTCAGTAGAGATGGGGTTTCACCAGGTTCTCCAGGTTGGTCTTGAACTCCTGAGCTCAGATAATCCACTGTCTCAGCCTCCCAAAGTGCTAGGATTACAGGCATGAACTACTGTGCCTGGGGCCAACATGGTGACATTTTTAAATGTCATTTTTAATGAATTTCAAAGCAAGTTTGTACATGACCAGAGATCATGGAAGGGGCATAATTATATTGAAGTGCACAGATTAAAAATCATTTGCACCTGTGGTTAACTGCATATGAATTATTTGTGTATGTGTTGCACATATATATATATATATATATATATATATATACAGTCACGTGTCTATTAACAATGGAGATGCATTCTGAGAAATGTGTTGTTCAATGAATTAATAATATGCGAACATCATAGAGTGTACTTATATAAACCTAGATGGTCCCGCCTGTTACATACCTATGCCATATGGTAGAGCCCATTGCTCCTGTGCTACAAACCAGTACAGCCTGTTACTGCTCTGAATACTATAGGCAATTATAACACTACGGTAAGTATTTGTATATCTACACATGTGGAAACATAGGCAAGGTACAGAGACAATACAGTATAAAACATAAAAATGGGCCTGGCGCAGTATGCCTATAATCTCAGCACTTTGGGAGGTCAAGGCGGGTCGATCACTTCAGTTCAGGAGTTCGAGACCATCCTGGCCAACATGGTGAAACCTGTCTCTACTAAAAATACAAAAATTAGCTGGGTGTGGTGACGCATGCCTGTAATCCCAGCTACTCAAGAGGCTGAGGCAGGAGAATCACTTGAACTCAGGATATAAAGTTTGCAGTTAGCTGAGGTTGTGCCACTGCACTCCAGCCTGGGTGACAGAGCATGACTCTGTCTCAAGAAAAAAAACCCCATAAAATTGGTGCACCTGTATTGGGCACTTACCGTGAATGGAGCTTATGGTACTAGAAGTTGCTCTGGGTGTCAGCGAGTGGGTGATAAGTGAATACGAAGGCATAGGACATGACTGTACATGCCTGCAGACTTTATAAACACTGTACATTTAGGCTACATTAAGTTAATTCAGAAACATTTTCTTCCTTCAATAATAAACTAACCTTGGCTCACTGTAACTTTTTTACTTTATAAAATTAAAAATTTAAAAACTTTTGGACTCATCTGTAATAACACAGCTGGAACACAAACACGTGGTATAGCTATACAAAAATATTTTCTTTATATCCTTTTCTGTAAGCTTTTTTTCTGTTTTAAAATTTGGTTTTTACTTTCAAAACTTTTTTTCTAAAAACTAAGATATCAACACTCATTAGCTTAGACCTATTCAGGGTCAGGATCATCCCTATCACTGTCTTCCAGCCCCACATCTTGTCCCTCTGGAAGGTCTTCAGGGGCAATGACACACCTGGAGCTGTCATCTCCTGTGGCCATGATGCCTTCTTTTGGATACCTTCTAAAGGACCTGCCTGAGGCTGTTTACAGTTAAGTTTTTTTTTTAAAATAAACAGAAGTAATATACTCTAATGATTAAAATATAGTTTAGTAAATACATACACCAGTAACATATTTATCAAGTATTATGTACTATACATAATTGCACGTGTTGGACTTTCATAGGGCTGCCAGCATCACCATGAACAGGTGAATAATGCATGCTCTAAGACTTTATGGCAGCTATGACTTCAGTAGGTGATAGGAACTTTTCAGCTCCATCATAATCTCATGGGACCACCTTTGTATATGTGGTTTGCCATTGACCGAAATGTTATTGACTGTATATACATACACACGTGTACATATGTAGGCACACAACACACAGTTTTGTCACTTGTGTTCATATACACACCTTCTCTACATTACCACACCTTTGCTGTAAATTATCTAAAGACCGAGTTCAAGTAGAATTTGAACCCAAACTAAAATGAAGACATTTCAACCTGAAAAACAGATATCTATTATGAAACAGATATCAACACGGACAGTTTGGAGGCTGGTTTATAAACTTACTATGCATAAAGGGGTATTTTGATTTAATTTGTGAAATAACTGTTTCTGCAAAGCTGTAAATACAGTGTTATTTAAAATGCACGGGAAGGAAAGACAAATGGCTAATTAACATAAAAAATGTCCAAACTTAACGACTATCAAAG